AGGCACATGCCTACATAACAATGAGATCTCCCTTCAGTACGAAACCCTAAATGGGCCTGCTAATCAAGTTATGAATTATTTGGCATTTGCATATCCATCAACTGCATAGTCACGCATATTTGATCAACCAATTACCGGCGCCATAAAGACAACTCTTTTCAATTTGCCGCACTTAATCCCCCGACTAATTAAAACAAATCCCCACAGTGACTCCCCCCAAAATGCCCTCGGCCGTGTGTTGCATGTTTGTGGGCGAGCATTGCGTATACGACACGTTATCGCAGCGCAGACAATGTCATGGCTGTGTACATGTGGCCATATACAACCTACCCCGCTCCTCGCCACCGTTCATAGACTATGCTTAAATATTTTCCTTTTATTAATTTTCCCAACCAAACTTGCACTGGAATTCCCAGCAGAGAGCACACCGAACACCAAACAAGCTCAACAATTTGTTGTCTATTTTATGAAGGAGCATGGCAGGGGGGGATGGTGGAGACTGGACTCGTCCACATGTGCCACATGGACCAGAGGCATTGTTGTTGCATTAACCGAGCTCGCTTTGATAATGAAAAATAATCATAAAAGTGAATGTGGAGTGGTGCCATGATACCGGATGCAGGGGCGGAGAACAATGGCAAATGGTGCAAAAAGTGGCACTTGCATGCGGGCATCCCACACATCGCTGGATCGCAGCCATTGTTATACGAACGAGATTTATTAGATGCCATTGAGTGTCCAATACACGGCACAGTTTTCCATTTCCATGGCAGCAATATAGCCATAAAAGCCTGGAATCGGTCACGTAGCCTGTTAATCTCGCCTAATCCAAATTGTCAAGCTCTTATTCCTTACTTATTTTTCGGTTCTAAAGAGATTTGATTTCCAAACATATGGCATCTCAGTAAGTGGTTTTGCATTTTTAGTTGTTTGGGGTCGGGTGAGGACACAACAGAGGAATATGTTATTTCCTGTTTGCCATTGGAAAATTGATGTTTTGTTACGAGTAACAACATGGCAGGCCAGGCAATTGAAACGGAAATTAAAAAGTTCTCGGTCCCATCGGAAAACCAGCCAACATATTATCCCATTCCCCTGTTTTTATTCTTTTTTTTTAAATATTCGATGTCCTGTTCGGCCGCTAAAGCATTCAACAATTTGCGGCAGGCATTTTCATTAATGCATAATCGGGTGTGCGAATATGTTAAACTGCATTAAGTGGGGATTGTTTGTGTAATGCGATGAAAGTGTTGCATAATAAACGAGTAAACAAGTGGCATGTGCCATGACGAGGTAATCAAACATATTCCATGGCTGCGCGAATGTAATTAATTTTAAACATTTATCTCGCCTGTATAATGAATAATTGACTCCGTTTAGACATTATTCTTGAATGAAACGTATTTATTCGAAAAGGATACATTTCCATCGCATTTCGCAGTTTAGTTGGCCGCAATTACCAGCTGACCAGCCATCCGCATCGTTCCACTTCATTTTAATTAAACAGTTTGCCTCATTTTAAGCGCACTCAAAGAAAAACCAATAATTTGTCTTGCCCATATTTCATTGCTTCACCCGGTCACCCACGGACGGGCCCTGAAACCAATCGTTTCTCTTAGCCATTGAAATTAAATTGGCAACGCAATGGTCTGGCTCTGACTACGGCCATGTCCACGTAGTCGGTTCCGGCTCCGGTCCCGCTCCGAGACTCCTGGTCTCCGGGTCTCCGGGTCTCGAAACGACGTTAACATTACCAATGCAAATGCATTTGAAGTCCCTGAGTGGATCCGGGGTCGCTTTTAATTGCTGCCTGTGATGGTACGAGTGGCAGGGAGCGGGGTAACCATTTTATTTTAATTTAAAAATAAAATTTTCGCACATTACTCAAAAGCGGCATTTTCTTGCCATTCACTACAGTCTTGCCGCACTGACCATTGATGGGAGTGTCCACACTGCCAAACTGGGTGTAATGTGTTCTCAGGATAATGGGTAAAGCAAACACATTGAGATGGAATAAAAGCGACTCAAAATAGGAAAGGTATTCCAATACAACTTATTTTTATAAAAAAAAGCAAGAGATACAATTGTTCAGTTTGTGAAAAAAAATATATATACTTAGCTTTTAAGTTGTATTCCAACTGGTTATCACACTTTATTATGATCGAAACATTAAAGGTACTTACTAAAATTAAAACCAAATGTTTTCATTAAACTTTTTTTTTCTGGAATTATACTGATAAATCTGATGTTCATTTAACTTAACTTAATCTAAATAATGTATTTTTATAAGAACGAATATTATTTTCTGGAATTATACTGATAAATCTGATGTTCATTTAACTTAACTGAATATAAATAATGTATTTAAATAAGAACGAATATTTTTTACAGTGTCAAGGATGCATTCATCACTAGTCTGATGCCTCAATGAATTTCTATAAAATAAGAGGCAGTCTGTCTGGCAGAGTGTTCAACATCCTCTGACCTTCTTTCACCTCTTTCAATACGTAAGGGTTTGGTTCCGTTTGGTTCTTTTCCGTTCTGTTGGAGTCTTGCCCTGCAGTCGTAATTAAAATAAAAAGTCGTGAGTGACTGCCAGCTGTTTGTCGCACAAAAATCTCATTTCAGGGCAATCATAATAATAAATAACCACCGACTGGGAGATACCTGGTCAATTAAGTGCTTGCATCTGACCGTGAGGAAGTGGGTCTTCAGCCCAATACACCCTGGCCGAAAAAGGGTGCTCTCTGCAATCGTTTTCAATGGCGTGTCTGCTGCGTTGATGATATTGTTGTGGTGATTAAAATATGCATGGGAACGCATGCTGAACGCTGCCGCAGTTTCTGGTGTTTACCGCTGCCTGTTGACTCGCATCCCGCAAAAGAGCGCTGAAAAGCAGACTACGCTGCAAACCGTACCACTTTCCGCGGTTTGTTATGCATATCCGGTACTCGAACATAACGAGGGCAAATTGGATTCCGGAAAATATGCGAAACGAGAAGGTAATACCTGGGACGATACCCTACTCAAGTTATAGTTCATGTTTTAATATACCAGGCCATGTACTCCCTAGATAATACACTGTATTAAAAAAATTAAATATCATTGGTGCCAAAAAGGAGAATTTATAAAATGTCTATGTATTTGTGAGCTTTATATTTTATCATATGTTTTTATAAATTTCATCATTCAATTTTTTGAATAAGGTATCGGGTAACTTTCACTCAAGGTATAACTTATTTGTTTCTATTGCGTGGCAATGTTTAACTGCAGAATGCATTCAAGCTTTAAATCAGATCTCCACAGTCGAAAGGTCTTGGAATATATCCCACATTTCGCATCATTCATTAGTTTATTTTATAATTTTAACATAATTTTTGGGAAAACTGTGTTAGTCGAAGTTTTAGCAATGCCCCCAAGGTGTCATTCATTGAGGGGAAAGTTTTTATTACCACAATTCAGAATTGCCAGGGGCCAAACTCCTCTAGAAGCTTTTCCGTAAAACTCAACATTTTTCGGCTGAAGCCGGAGTGGAATGTGAGTCCGTGGATGCGTTCGTGTGGGTGAGAGTGTTTGTTGTTTAACACTTCCGGCTCCTGCTATTGTTGCTGTAGTTGTGGCTGTAGTTGCTCAACAAAAGCTCGATGGCGCTGTAAAATGTAATCATTGTGGCGTGTAATTAGTTTTTGTGTGTACCATATATTCAAGTGCAGGGTGCGTGTGTGCATGCATGTAGGTATAAATAAAATTTATTATTGCATTAACGTTCAGAGCCGCCCCTTGCCACTGAGCTCACACACCCGCACTATGCAAATGTAAGCACATTTGGTCAACACGAGTGTGTTTGGGGAGAGGTATGCATTTAATTGGGAATCGGTTGGTTAAGCGAGGGCTGATAAAAAGGTTGTTTGATTGATTGCTTCAACCGAAATGCAAAGTATACAAATTTCTTACGTATTACTAACTTTAATGAAATTGTATTTAAAATTACATTTACCCATTTAACGCGATTTGATTTTTTGTGATATGGCGGTAAGTAAATTGAGCATTATAGTCAAGAGCTTAAATCATCTGCAAAACGCGTAAATTTAAACTCAGGTCGTGCCTAAAGTAATGCTATTAAAACCATTTAAAGCCTTAGTCCTTTCCTTACTTCCCTTGCGATGAAAACTTCCCTCGCTTGCTTGCTCTTCATTAACGGCTATGACCGCTGACCACATGTCGTATTAGTAATAATAATTCACACATTAGAGTTCTGGTTCTTGCTGCTCTTGATGTTGTTGTTGCTCACTCCATAGTCAATTTTCAGTGCGAGTTGTGTGTGTCTGTGTGTTTTGATTGGCGGTTATTTAGGGCACTGCCACTCCCCTCTCCCCCGCGGATGGCCAATTGATTTGTTGGTCTCTTTGCTGTCGCCACTCGAAGCCCCCTGGGAGGCGGAAATGCCACGCAATTTGTTTGTTCGCACTCAAGCCGCAAACATTGTGAAATTAACTTGTTAGCCATGCACCAGGGTGGGCGAAAACGGAAACGAAAAGGGAAAGGGATGGGGAAGGGGACGAGGTCAAGCAGCGGGGCGGGGTTGCCCTGGTAATTGACATTCGATTGGTAATGGGCGGTCTGAATATAGCGGTAATTGGTTTGTATTTTCCCAAATCATCAGTTTGAGAAGAAACTTAAATCGAATGTGGGTAATTGTATTGCGGTTAATGGGTATCAAAATTCATCTCTAAATTTACAATGATTTTTTATTTATGTTTTATTATTTTGACTGATATAGGTTGTTTGGTAGTGGATAGTATTGTTTTCTATAAATGCTTATAAGCATTTATAAGGGTTTTTTGACTTGTAATAAACTGTCACTTAAAACCATAAGACAATTTAGGGTCAATCTAAAGAGAAGAACTGATTGAAATAGATTGAAAAAAAATACAACTGACAAGTAATTTTATTCCGTTAACAAAACAGTATCCTTTGAAATATAACTCATTCACGTTTTTATAAACAACTACACTAAACACTTTAGATATCGCTCTGTGTTTATAAATTGTTAAGTATTATTTTGTACAAATTTAAAGTCATGTCCACTCGTAGACAAGTAATCTCCGAAAGTCGGCCGCAAATTTCTGATCCGGATGATGATGAAATGAAGCTCTTTATGAATGAGGAATCGGATGATGCGGTATTGAGTACGAAAACAGTTCCTCTTCTCAGAAGTGAAGTGAACATTGAAGTTCCATTTAAAATTTCTGATCAAGATGAGGGTGTAAATAGACAGCTTATGAGCCGCTGTTCGGATGATGCAATATGCAGGCAATATGCAGGCAACTCCGATGCATCCTTGACATCCAGTTCAGAAGCCATTTGTCCTTCGGCTACCGAAATTCCCTCTTGGCTAAGGACACTGGACACTCCGGCTCAACCCAATGAATCAACAGCTTCTGCTTGCCCGATCTGTCCGACAATCGGATCGAAGCCGATCCCTCCTTGGATGACCAATCCGGCAGCCTTCATGGGCTATCACTACCGATCCGCACCATAGTTTATGTAAAAGTGTGTCAGTTAAAGTTAAAGTTTGCGTGGGTCCGCTCTTCCACATTCCTATTTCCGTTCTGAATCTCTACCCTTTTGCAGCTCTCACCATAGCGACACTAAGTGGCATCCAAACTGCAGCAAATCCACACCTACCCCATCATCCGCCCTCCTGGTGTCCGCTAGCCGGGCTTGTGGCTTGCGTTTGAAGTTTAAGAGGCATAAAATCAGCGTCATGCAGTGAGAAAAGTAACAAAATGTATTTAAGATTGATGTATATTTGAAATTGTGCCTTTTAAAACAAAAATCAGAACTTTACCTTGTGTACAGCGGATATATAAATAATGTACAGAATCCGCACTAAGTATTAATGTTAGTTTTATTTTGCAATAATATGACCGCAAATTTGTAGAGTTCTGGAGATAAAGGAAAACATACGTAAATTTAAAATGGTGCCTATTTAAACTAGATTTCAGAAGATACCGCCAAACATTTTCTAAGAAATCTTTACATTTTTAAGCTAGTACCTTAATGTTTTTTAGTAAATTTTATCTCAGTTTTGGGGTCAAAGCACCAACACGATTCGTTTTTCTTAAATTTCTTCAGTCTGAGAAGTAAACAATGAACATTCGCATAAAGATTCTTATAGAGGAGGCACTGTGATCCCTTTTTATAAGTGTAGAGCATAGTGGTGCACAAAGTGTAGCAAGCCACGACATCCTGCTCCCTTGGCTGCTCATGGATGGCAACAACTTCATTTGCAACATCAATCGCAACCTCATCAAGTTGTCTGCCGGCAGCCGCACTCATTACGGCGATGGCAGTCAGAAGCGACTGCGTTTAATAAAGCGTTCGTCGGCCGACGACTGATGCGATTCGACTTGGGATGGGAAAGGGTTTTTGCAAAGGGAGGGGATTGATGCCGTTAGTCTGGGCCCCAGGGCGGCTAGGTTTAATTAGCTTTAATGGCTTAATGCGGGCCATCGCCGTTTGGGTCAGACCCGGGTCATAACGAACAGGAGGTGACACTGGCCACAACCCATCCCGATGCGAAGCACTTTCCGATTTGCCACCTCTGACGAGGCCAACAGAAAAGAGCCACCCGGGGAGTGCCACTAGAGTATTAATGGATGCCACCCGCCTCGTGACACTTTAAAGCAATTTTCCTGCCAAACAAATTTCCGGTGAAGCGCACAAAAGTTCCCTGGCCCGACTATTTATTTGCCCCCAATTGCGAGGAGCTATGCTCCGGAGGAGACCCATTCACACGTAGCACACAACTCCTTTTTCTCTTCCTGCAAAGAAACTTTGGCTCATAACTTCGCATTGAGGAAGATGCATATGCAACACGTTCGTGCCATTCCCAACTGCAATGACTCAGGCACACAGTTCCGAGACCCAGTTTTCAGTTTCACCTGCTCCGATGGTAGTCAAATAATGAAAAAGATATATAAGAGTTTGGGGAGTACCTCCAGCAGAACTGTTCAAATGATTAACATTAGTTTTCGATATCAACCGTTTTCTAAAAATAAATTAATTTGAATTAGATCTAAAATTATTAAACAATAACTTATTTCATTTTTCACATTTTATTGAATCCTTTATTTTGTAAGAAGAATATTTTATATTTTTATAAAAAGGTTTTACGTTTAATTAAACTAAATTTTAAGGCTATCAAATAAAAAGATTTTAGGAATATATATTTTATTTTCTTTAGTTGAACAAACTATAGGGTATCGAACGCATTTAACCTTTTCCCTCTCTTAGTTCCCACTGATGTATTGGGGAATTGCAACTTTTTCTTAGCCGTTCGACTTTCGCAGCCAGCACGAAATGCTGTCGGACATTCAAAGTAAACTACTGCATGGGTCGAGGGATGAAAGAAAAGATATTGGGATGCAGATGACTAGGGAACGCAAAGTTAATTGAAAAGTATTGTTTGCTATTTTGTGTCTTTCCATTCCCGTCGCATTGTTGACACTTCTCACACAAAGTGGAGACGGATGTTGCTGCCACTTCATTGTCAATTCATGTTTAAAACACTTACCTCACTTTCTCACAAGAATTCTTTGGCCGGTGAAATTTACTTGATACTGTATCCCCAATGAGTAAGTAACAATTATTAGTTTTTTTGGAGATTTATAAAACTAGCATTTATTTTTATTCTGTTATGGCTCAAGGTCTTATTTGACTGATTTACAGGCTCCATTTATACGTACACACTAAGTTTCTAGTGAAAATGACATAGGTCATTCAATCTTACTGTCCGTTACTAAACCACTAGCTTTATAGGGATTTAAAACACCTAAGTAATGCTAAAATATGTATTTTCAAGCTTTATGATATGTGTTCAATGCTGCAAATTGATGAGGCGATTAACAACAATAACAAGCGTCATAAGAGTTTGATGTACATATATAGATTATAAAGAAAAGACTTTTTTTGATAATCAAATTAGAACGTATAATATAAAAGTTTTGAATTTTAACTCTGCCTTTACAACCTCATGGTAGCGACGACGATATATTTAAATAAGTCCTGAAGCTATATTTTTAACTCTCTCTGCTTTTTTTTAACCTGCTATCACGAAAGAACTTATCTACAACTAATTAACAATACATTCATAATTTTTATTAACACTACATTATGATGAGAACATAGAACAAAGGGTCAGCACCCGACGTAAATCGTAAACATAAATATATAAAGATATTGTGCAGTGCGAAAACGACTGATAACTAAAGCAGGAAATTCCATGGGATACAGGAAACAGTTGATTCGAGATTTGGTTTGTTGCAGAAATATTATACATTTAGCTTTATAAATCTATGAGTATTATTAGGGGGTTTCAGACGGATGTCTCCTATGAATGTTGGATCCTGGGACTCAGCTTAGTATGTCGGAGTGCGGCTTCTCCTTTCCATTCTTGCTGATCAGTGCATTGCGTCCTAAGGAAAGTTTAAAATATAAAATGAATAACAATTAGTAATTGTAATTTCCATAACAAACCTTCATTTTCCGTTGTACTGGCCACGCCCATTAGTTTAAGGTTGGACAGCAGGGCGCCTAGGTTAGAGCGGTCGTCCAAATATTTGCTTTCTAAGCGAACCATGCCCAGCTTCTTGGACTTCGTCTGCGTGTGCCAAACCAGTATCTCGGTGCAGTTGTTACCCCGCGGTTCGATCTGATTAATTTTCAGACCGATGCTGCGTAAGAAGAGATCCTCCTCGTAGCCAGGCTTGTATGGCATATTTACATAGGGATACTGCGCCATATACTCCAAGTTCACGGCGAAACCGGCCATGTCAACGGGCCAGCGTCGACCAGCCACCCAGGAGTCCAGAAAGGCCACCACCTTGCCCTGAAAAACATTATGTCAAAAATGGATTTTTTTAAAACAGGCTTCAACTAATAATTTGATAAATCAGTATAAACAATTATTTTAGAAATAATAGACTCACCTTTCGCACTACTGGCCCACTGACTCCATAATCGGCAATCAGACCGACGGGAAACATGGAAACCCGTTGCGTTTTCCGAATTTCTGTAAATAGTCGAAGGTCGTAGGTGTTATCATCGTCCCCAAAGTATAGTATTCCGTTAGTGAGATTGTGCTGCCGCAACCACTGCAAAGCGGCTCTGCGATTTGCTACGCCTCGCGGTGCTGGTTTTTCATTCCGGAACTTGCTTGGCATGGGGCTCACCATGTGGGTAAAGGGAATACCTATAAAATGCACATCGGTTAGATATCAAAACTCACATTTAGAATACAACGATAATTACCGAATCTATTGAGCAGGGTGTCCATAAAGTCGTTGCATTTTTCCTGATCATCGGCTACTAGCCAGTGCAATCGCGGGACATGGAGCAGCGTGTGCGCCAGACGGGTTAGTTCTGGGATCTGCTCCCGGCGCGGATACGTCGGGGTAACAAAATATATCACGGGCAGCTGTCCGTAGTCAGAACGGGGTTTATCCTGCATAAACTGCCGGCGATCCTCATAGCTCTCGCTACAAATGTGCAGACTTTCGTTGAGTGGCCGGAAATTCATACTATCTGTGGATAAGCAAACCGAGAGTTATAAGGTTATACTGGGTCAATTACTTTTGAAATTGCGACGAGAGTCTTATGATTTAATCAGAATTCTCAATTACTAAAATAGCTCAACTCATTGACCTCTGGCCCCATTTGAGGCAGCCAGCCTGAGTGGCAAGATGACAATGCGATTGTAAACAATCTTTGCGGTGTCTTTCAACTTCTCAAAAGGTGCTAATCAGTGTCTCTTAGATACTTTGCCAACGAAAAATTTACTTTAGCTGAGTTAAAATCGTTGAGATAAAGTGCCTGTCACTGCTCAAACAAACTGAAGAGCAGAGCAATTGTGGCTTCGAATGTTTGGGTTATGCATACATTTTAGAGATCAGTCGGAAAATCGAAGATAGCACAGTTAATTATCTAATGGATTAATCCGTGTTGGAAATCTTTCGCCTGCTATTAAAGCGTTAATGTGTTTGGATCGACTGCGTGCGCCAATGTCATTAGAACCCCTCACAATTAATCCAGAACGAAAAGCGAAAAGCACGAAATTGTGGAAACTTCAGAGTGGGGGAACCCCAATTTTCGATTTATATGACTGATAGGAAACGAACAATGAAAGGCAAATATACATAAATAAATAAAAAGGTCCCCGTTCCTTGTAGACCCATTAGTAATATAAATCGGGCAGGCAAAAGTATTCACTAACAAGTTATTAAATAAAGATAAGGCCAAAATAACCCAAACCCTAAAGCGAATCCAAAATTTCAAGGCAAAAAGAAAGTGCCTCACCACAAAGGCGGTATCGATCAACCACAATAAAGAACATAGTGCTTTGCGGGTATTCCAGATGACACATAATTACGTATACCTTCCCCTATCATAATACACCGCCTAATGAACATTAACGTGCGCTGATATAAACCTGATAGTGGGGCTCTAGCCTACTACACGTGTATGTGCCTTCAGAGTGGGGTTTGCACTCTGGTGAGTCCATCCACTCATACGTATTTCCACTACCAAACCCTACCGATAAACCAAACACTTATCGACGGGGCTCGACACCAATCTGGGAATAATCACACGCTCACGTACAGCTCTGTCGTTAATTATGGCACATATCTAGATGAGTGAGTGCTTTGATTGCAGTCAATCGAGAATTCCCCAGACACCTGATCTACAAGCGACGTTAGTCACAAATTGTTTTACGGTTCGCCTTTATCAGTTTCATTCACTCTTATGTTATACACTAAAATCGAAAAAAAATAACAGAGAGATTGTGGGTTTAATAAATTGTACACATACTAATTCACCCAATGAAAGTATCTACAAAATTAATGTTCTCATAATTTTGGTAAATACACTGCATTTTTAAGTAGCAGCAGTGACAGCTCATTATAAATTATAACATAAGATCTTGTTAGATAACAGCGTACGCCACTGATAAAAGTGTTTATTATATTTCAGCGCATTTATAATATAAATATATTTCCTAATATGGTAGAATATTAACCATCATACAAAAGATACCAGTTAGATAATAATTAGCAATTAGCAATGGCCAAATATTTACTTGAAACTTATCTATGAACTCCCTTTTCTACTAACTTTCTAATTTGTTTATATTCTTATCTGAAGCACCTGTTGCATATAGACAGCCACAAAGCAAGCGATTGTACATCGTAAGAAATCACAATTAAATTCGACATGTGTTTCAAATGCTGCTAAATTGGCCTGCACGTTATGTATTTTGAATTTATACGGGGCAATTCCAAAATTGTAAATATTTGTGTAGACAAGTTTATGCCAATTTACTTTTACGGTAGCAAAGTGCTTAGTAAAATGTTATTGGGGAAAACCATAGAATTCGGACAACAATAGCTGGGAGGAAAGAGGGAATGTGAAGCAAACACTTGAGAAGATACTGAAATCGGCTCGAAACAGATGAGCCGAATAAAAGTGCATGACGAAGTATACATTTATTTATATTCAGGTCTGGCACCAGAGACAGCAATTCCCAGACCAACGTGTAGCGATTTTTTCCTCCCTATCCCCATGTTGATAAGAAGATTCTGCGAATCTGTTAATTATACTCGCAAAATGAGAGGCAATCAAGTCTGTTTACCTTATAAGAAAAACTGCTAAAAGCTTTTTTAAGTATGGGGCAAATGCGAAATCTACAATCTATTCTAAGCGCTAGCAAGTTGTGAGGAAAAGTGTAATTAGACAATTGGTGCCACTCAAATCGCATTCATAGCTCGGATTTGTTAACTAGTTCGACTATAGATCACATGTCTATTGAATAATATACATTTATTTTCATGTTTACTACTTTTAGTTTCAAGCCAATTGCGTAATCTTTTAAGGCTTTCCGTTGGAATGGTCTTTATTTTATTCGAACTCATCAGCTTCGATGCTTTTATGGACGACATCTAATAGGGTGTTGGCCTTATATCTTGATTGCCTTGTTTTCGTTCAGCAAATCCAGCTGTTATTCCGGGAACTTAATTACCCAGTAAAAAAAATAATTTATTTCGACTATGGCTTATCACTTGCAAATATGTTTGAATGAACATTCTTTAAAAAACAGAAAGTTGCTAAATATCATCAGTGTTAAAATTTTAATATTAAATCCAAAATTCGTTAATAACTTATCTATAAAACGATAGGATTAGATAAGTATATTCGCGTTGTATGGCTTGGAAGATTCGTTTGTGACCAATATAGATTATTCAAGGAAAAAGCCAAGTAACGTGGAAACCTGACCTTGTTCAGGCTTTTGCTCTGGGCAATAAAAAACGACCAACAGGCGAAGCGATGTAATTGCCGCTGCAGGTGAGGGTGGATGGCTATCGATACAGTGTCTACATCCATATATACATCGCGTTTGTAGAAGACAATTGTTACCAAATAGATCCAATTACGGTTAAATAATAAAAAAAAGGCTGCAGGCTAACCAGTAGCCAAAGTCGGAACGGCGACAGTGGCGAGCCGATGAGTTACACGCGATAATTACCGCAGCAAATTATTCGGAATTGGGGAGGTGCTGTCACAGCGACTTACAAGGCCTTGACAAACCCCTCTTTGGTTTTATAACGGTTAATAAAAAATGATAGTGGTGCGATATCATTTGTTGGATAAACTGAGGTTTGGCATATAATCGGGTAATTTTTGCTCAACATTTTTAAAAACTTTTGTGTTTGTTGTGTGCTTTAATGATTCAGACCATTTTAATCAAAACGTTTGCTGTTACTTATAGTGTATGCATTACGGTTTTGATATCGCAATTTGTTGTATTTAAGTTTTTTTATAGAAAAACATACAGTGTTTTATAAAAGTCTACATATGAAAAATATATATATATTTTTAAACTTTAGCAGCAGTAGTCGACAAACGAACGGACTAAGAGCACTAAAGTTCCTCACAAAGTGTAGGGTGACCTAAGCTTTGATTGGCAGTGGTCCAAATTAAAAGTGAAAGTGGGAGCAGAGTGGCGAATTCACTTTCGGCCAGCAGTCGCGAAAATGCACTCAGCCGCACTTCCTATGGGATCAACTTTAGGAGAGTGAGTAAGGGGAGGGGACTCACGGATTTTTGGGTTGAAACGATGTCTTGTCCGTATTTTTTTCGGCTTCAATTCTGGCTGTTTTAGCTCGATATCATATTCATCTACTTCCGTTTCTTGAATACTATCTGTGACGTTCCCGAACCCCTGGAATTCTGGTCTGGCTGCCTCCAAGTGTTCGGCCTGGCGGGTGTACCTTAACAGCCAGTCTGGGGGTCGGGATTCTTGAAACTGGACTCCCTGCTTACCTAATTCGTGGTGGGATCCCTCCTCCGAGTCCTCGGAACCACCGCCCAGTCCCAGGGCGATCCGAGTGTCTCCGCTGAGGGTTAGGTAGCAGCAGGCGATGAAGAACAGAGCAGCGACCACCAGGGGCAGTACGCAACGGCGCCTGCCCATGCCCACGCTCCCCTTCCGGACCATGGGATGTGGCGCGGTGGGGCAGCGGTGATGGTTCTGATGTGCCCTCCGTTCGATGTCCTCGTTATCCTCGTCCGAAGTCTGCGGCTCGAGTGCCTGGTATTGGGCACTAGACATTTTGTGAGATATTTTGGGATCTGGTCTTGGTGTTGGATGGCCTCTCAGCTGGGGTGGTGGATTTGGAGGTGGTGGTGGAGCGGCATAACCCGGCCATTTGTGGTGAACCGGGCCTACCTTGTGGTTTTCACAAGCTTATTATACAACTTTTGGCTGGGTCGACCCGAAAATTATGCAAATTCCCTAGACATTCCTGCACTTTGTGTGCTCTGCTCTATTTCCGAAACGCTTGCGTCGCTTGTTGCTATAAAAAAAACACCTAAAAGGTGAACTCTTGGCCACAGCACTGTCGCGAATTTCGAATCGGAAGCACTCAAAGCACGCCGTTGCACCCAAAAATTACACAAAATATTATTTCTGCCCGACTTCCGCGCGCGTCTCCCCGTCTCTGTCTCACTCGCAGGGCTTATTGTTTTTTGTGCCGTTACGGATTCATTCGCCTGTTGTTGTTTCGATGAGTTTGACAGTACTACTTATAAAAAAAATCGGGCAATTCGCGAGCAGGCCGATAGAGAGGAATAGAGAGTAGCGATGAAAGAGAGTGCATAGCCACCACCACAGCTGACGCAAGGTTGCATTTGGTTTCGATCTCGACTGGTGCAATACCGCGGTTACAAACCTCAAAATAGAATACAATTTTTTTTATTTTATTTAACACTCCTTAAATAATTTTAATTTGTTTACTCAGGCCTAAACTAAATGAATAATAGTTTTTAATTTATTGTAATTTATTTAAATGGTTCAAGCTTATGACAAGAATTACTTTGGCTCTTTAAAAATGGTAAAGTATTTTCAAAACTCCTTCAAATTTTCTGATATTTAGAAGTTAAATTATATATTATATTATTAATTTATCACTGAGGCTGGTTGCTGAGTTCTACTCCACCGAGTATTACGGAACTGCATAAATCAGACCTATCGATATACTATCGACGCACAGTGGTACAGTAGAGCATATAAATTTTTGTTTGCAATAATCAAAATGAAAAAATTGGCGGCTATAAATATATTAACGAATCAGAATAAAATATTTGTTTTTTTTAATTTTTAAGGCTGCTTATCGGTTTATAAAATAATTTCTTTTTTAGGTAGCTTAGTCCGCTTAGATTTAATAGATTTTGAAAACTATTAGTTAAATTGTTATTACTTTTCTTACTATTGATTGGAATACATATTTATTAGGTATATGAAAACAAAAATATTATTGTTTCTCAAGGTGAATCACTATTTAACAATTACTACTATTTTTTAATTTTCAATAACGCAAATAAATTTGGATAATTATCATAAGATATTCAAAAGTATATTGATAACAATCTATGCGCCGGCTCGATTTTCAAAGTTTCAAACAAATTGTTACTTTAAAAATAATGTTTTGCGAACTTTTATTTTGTTGTCATTGCTACTTAATGCCCAGACTATTTGTGATATAGGATATTAATGTCTTTTCTTTATATTATTTTAAGACGACGACAATATGTACCTTTAGAAAATGACTTTTAGGCTGGAATTTTAATAAAAAATTATAAACTGAGATGGACTAGATTTTGATTCCGGAACAACCACTTAGGGCACCCTCTTCATTTGCCCGTTGACTGTCGAAGTTTCCGCCATATCTTATCTAATCGTCAACTACCCGATTTTAATCGTTATTACTTAACCATAACGGGCTTTGTCCGGGTGATTATGGTACTTTTATACTGATATTTGAATTGGCTTCCATTTCACAATTTCATTTGAATTTCCTTAAGGACCCCCTCACCCTTACAAAAAATAAATTTTTGATCTATTACAAACGGCGAATGTGTCCTACATTTATTCGTTTACTCTTGGACAACTGGCTACAATTGCATTCGTTTAATGATTTCAATACAAAAGTGAACAATCTTTGTGTGATTTATTGTTTTTTGTTAATTAAGCAAATTTTACGATTAAAAGCCACTTAGTTTCTCACTTTTGTTGCGGTTCCAGCTGCCGCCGCTGAAATCCTCCACCTTGCGAGCTGCACTGCAGCTCCGTGTGACTAAGGACAAAGCGGAGCAGGAGGAACTTAGCAAACCCTGCACTTATGGAATAATTAACTAAATGTTATGAAGAGAACTCATAGGTGGATCAAAGGGACGGCCAGACGTCTACGCGCTGCCCTCTTAGATGTTGGCCTTGATGACATCCTCCAGACGCGAGGCGTTGGCTCCAGCGAACTCCTCGACCTTGACGCCGTTCTTGACGAACACAAAGGTGGGCATGCTGGAGACGTTGTATTCCATGGCAATGTCTTCGCACTCGTCCACATCAACCTGTTGGAGAAGACAGTTTAGTAGGAGTTCCAATTTAAATAAGACAAATAAATAAGTACTTCAATATTAAACGGCCTGCTAACATTCAAAATGTAATAATTTTCAATGAGAAGAAAAGTGAATGAGTTTCACACTATTTAAAAAAAATATATATGCATTTAATTAAAAATACATGTATATTGGATTGTGAATTCTAAGTTGTAACAAATATGATAAAATCCATTTATGAAAACATATGGCAACAAGATTATGTTAAGGGAAATGGTTTTTTCGTTATCATTATAGGAGGTAACACAAAGTCTACTGGTTTAAAACGTTGTAAAATATCATATAATCATTGCATTAGAGCGCAGTCTAAATAAAGCTTATTAACATTTTGAGCTTCTATTTTAAGCCTTAGCTTTCCAAACACCCACCTTCAGGACGACGATGTTGTCGGCGTACTGCGTGGAGAGCTCGGCCAACTTGGGCGAGATCATCTTGCAGGGACCGCACCAGGTGGCAAAGAAGTCCAGCACCACCAGCTTGCCAGCCGCCTTGGTCAGCTGTCCATCGAGGTCGTTCTGTAAAATGAAAAATGGAAATTGTAAATTTATGTTATCTTTTGGTAAGATCAGCACACATCAAAGATATCGATTTTCCACCTCCGATGACCTATTTATATTGATTTTCCCACCGAAGGGGCGAACCAATTCACTAACTGGATAGTTTGGGGTTATCAAGCATTGATCCGGTGGGTATGTACATATGTAGATGTAGCAGGGGAGACCCACTCATTATCTCGAACATGTGCGTGATAAGGCGGCCTCTGTTCTGCCACAAAGTTGTCGGACAACCCCAAAGTTGCCAAGTTGTAATCGGCTCTAGTAATCACCGATTGACGGGTTCAATATTTGTGCCTCAGAACTTGTGAATTTGGGGCTATTGCATTTCATTATTCCATTTCTGTATTTCATCGAGTGGGCAACACATCAATATTTAAAGAATTTCTAAATTATATGTATGCCGAAAGGTGTGGTTGTGGGCAGTCCCTTTCCCCCTTATCCAGTCCAATGCCCCGCCCATGTCACGTTTTCCCAGTGACCTTTAATTAATTGCTGGCGATGGCAATCGCAGAACACATGCAAAGAAATGGCTCTAATGAAATTGTGGATTTCCAATGGAATGGGTAACCGGTTTGGTAAAATTTACATACGGCATTAGGTAATTCTTAGCATAATGCATATTGTTTTTGCTTCAAACAACTTGTTATTCCCTATTAAATATTTTGATCAAGCTTAGATCATTTCCAGTGGGAGATCAAACTAAAGATGATTAACTGATTCATGGTATTTTATGACTATTAAAGTCTATTTATTTCAAAGATGACTCAAATGTATGGTGACAATTAGGAAATCATTGACTCATTTTTGAATACAACATCCGCGTGATAGAAAAAACCCTAAAATGCCTATCCAACATAGAAATATGTATGTGGTTTTAAATAAAAAAGAATGTTCTGGTGGTTTCAAGTGGTTTTTGATATCCACAATTCGGTTGTCGAACTTATTTTTGTATAAAATAAGACCGCAAGGGGTAAAATGCTTAGCACTGTTCTATATATATTTAGATATATATATATAAATGTGTATACAAGCAATTATAGAAAATTAAAACAAGCTGAAATTATTGAAACCATTCCTTTTTATAAATTCTCTAACGTAATATTGGTAAAGTTGCGCACGACCGGTTCGTCGTCCGCTGAGAACTTTACCCCTTTTAAAAACCCCCTCGTTTCTTGACCATGATGCTTTCGTATGGCGCGCAACTTCTGAGCGGTGAGCACACCTTGTGCTATAGCAACTATTCAAATATTTCCAACCAACAAACCAAGTCTCGGCAGCGATAATTTATTGCAAACTCATCCCAGACGCACACACACTGATAGCTACATATACGACTACTTGGCACTGTATTATCTATAGCAGGCCGTTAGAAAAAATTCAAATTTTGCTTTCCGCTAAAACCCGGTTTGCGGTTCATTCCATGGAGATGGAATGATATCATTTCACTACTCGAACTTTCTCGTACTGGTGTCCGCTTTCTCGCTCGTTTCGACCGTACGTGAGTTATTCTCACTTGTGTGGGAGCGTATGGCAAAAAGCGTAGAAAATACAATCAAAAAAAGTGAGTGGGTAATTGGAATGCCGATTCCAAAGCCATATTTTCAGAGACCCATGGGGTCAAGGGTCGGCGTTATCGTGTTACCCAACAGTTGACGATGACGTTACGGCTGTGGACCCACAGATCCGGCAGAGCTGACTCACCTTATCTTTCACTTGGTACACCATGTTGGATGGGCGATGTGGGTTTTCGGAAACGGAAACAATGTACAAAAGTTACTTAATTAGCACTCGGGCAGCTCTTCACACCACGCAGCTAGATTTTTTTTTCAACTAGGAGCGTGTTGCGGTTGCTTTTATAGATTTTCGAGCTCTCTTGCCCTCTAATGCTCTCTCTCAGCCGGCGGCGACGCTTGGTTGAGGTGGATTTCTTTCGTGGTGAATTGGTCGAAATGCAACTCTCCAGTGGTTCACTGCCAAAACGATAGGGGGCGTTGCGAAAAGCCGTTAGATTCAATTCGATTTTTGTGCTCGTGAGCGGTAATTGATTTATTTAATGTAACGTACTTAATCTTGTTGAATTATTTAATGAATCGGAGAGTCGTATGTTGATAATCAGAATATATAAAATTACTGCAAATATCAAACCTACATATGTTACGAACACAAAAACAAAATGACAAAGAAAAATTAAGTCTCCATTTCGGGGTTACTTTACAAATTTTTGTTTAAAACTATGGGCCAGAATAGTAAATTTTTTTAAACCATATCGATATAAATTAGAAAATCAAAAATTTCTTGTTTCAGGAACCCATTGTGCGTTGGTAGAGAAGGATTACCAATGGTGGTGGGTTAATCGATTGGTTGCCGGAGTTCCATTCGAGATCGGTAGGGGGCGTTTTAAACAGTGTTAGATGCGAAAAATTTAAAACATATATGTAGCTGGGTATAAAAAAATACTGAAATATTAAATATTTTGTGTCACTTATCTAAAGTTAGTAACGTTCCTTACAAATACCCAGTACGTTTGTAGAAAGGGCCCTTAAAATATATTTTCCGTTTCAAAGATTTAAACTGACTTTGAAGCTGTTAAACATAATTTGATTTTTCCATTACTAGCCCCTTTCAGACCTTAAGTTCAATTTTACTTTTATAAATCAACATATTTTAATAATTTATTTGCCGGGTAAAACAATGAGAAAATGGTGTAACACTACGCGTACAGATGGAAATTAAGATTTCACAACTAATCCTAACACTATGGTACTATGCTAGGCTATCCACTATGAGTAATGCTCCGGCGTCCGGAATCGTTAAGTACTATTCAATGGGTGACCGATGGTGCAAGCGCCGTCGTTGCCGCCGAGTGGTGCAAGTGGTGGTGGTGGTGATGGTGGTACGTTAGCGTGGGCGGAGGAGGCGGAGGCGGTGGATGGCCTGGGGGCGGGGCAACTGTCGGGACACTTGATCCTCCCGCAGTGGCAAATCCACTAGCTACCGCCATTTGTTGCTCGTAGCTGGAATAATGATCGTAGTAGCTTCCGTATCCGGTGTCCAGGCTGTTTCCGGTCGCGGTATTTCCCGGTGGCACTGTGGTGGTTCCCGTGTCAAAGTAGCTAACACCATTGTAACCACTCCCGCTTTCGTAGTAGTGGTGACCCGTCGATTGGTTTCCCCCGAATTGCTGGTGGCTCTGCTGGAGGTGCTGTGGGTGTTGGTGGTGCTGCTGCATCTCGTACTCCGCCTTGGGACTGTAGTAGTAGTCGTAGTTGTCCTCCACATACGGCTGTGTCTCCACGGTGGCGTTGTACTTTATGGTGGGCGGCAGACCCGCCCCCGGCTCTCCTTTGCAGCTGATCTCCTCCTGACCACCACCCAAGTGCTTGATCTGCGAGTAGTTGATGAACTCCGGCTCCGGAGTGGCCAGTTGCGGACTGGACTCGTAGGCCAGTGCCTGACACTGGGTGTGTCCATGGACCGGAGCCCCCATCGAGTAGGCGTTCCCACTCGAGGATTGCTGGTATGCGGCCAGTTCCGAAATGCTGCAGGTGTACGGCAAACTGGGTGATTTACTGGGAGCTGCAGTCGCCGCCGTCGGAGTTGCATGGTAGATGGGATAGTTGTACGTGATGTGCTGGTGGTTGACAGTGAACACATTCGCGGCGGTCTCGCAGGGCGCCGAGGACTCGGATCCACTCAGGGGCCAGGAGTTGGTGCCGTAATTCGAGGACTGCGACAATTGGTGGCTCCTCGCCGTGGTGCTGGTGTCCTCCAGGTAGCTGCAGGTGCAGTGGCTGTAGCTGGTGCACTTGCCACAAGCTGAGGAGGAAAGGAAAATTATAAGAGGTATATAATAAAAATCTGAATAATAGGATAAAAATTTAAGCAATACTCAAAATATATTATTCATTCCAGAAAGCATTTTAACTTAATTTAAAAGAAAATAATAACCAAAGTATTTAATGTTTTAGTAACTTTTTTTCATATCGTACAAAACTTCTCTGTTAAAACGTGGCTACATAAAGCTGGTATTGATTACTTAATAAAAGTGCTGTAAATAATTTTGCTTTTTAAGTAATATATTAAAACAGTTCTATTAATTTTAAGACGATGAGATTAAATCTTCAATGCAAAGGAAATAAAAAATGCTTATTTCAAAACTAAATATTTATTTTTTTCCTTTACTCTTTTTAATTTGCTTACCATTATACTGGTATATATCCAAGGCGGAGTGGCTCAAAGGATTACTGGCAGCAGGACGCTTAAGGACCTTGCTCATGAGACTGTGCTGTTGCTGCTGTGAGTAAAGCGAGATTATGATTATGATTGACTTCCAAAGACTCTATATTTCTAACTCACCTTCACCTGCTTGACCAGACCCGCAATAACCGACTTTTTGCCCACCGATCCGTTGGCGGACTTTCCCCCCAGCGGCACCCTGCCAAAGGCCCTCTTGGAAACGCTGGAGTTCTTCGGATCCGGACGCAGGTGGTCGTGCACTCCCTTGGCCTGGAAGAAGATGGCGTTGCCGGAGTGCCGCCAGAAGTGGGTCACCGGATAGCCGCAGTGACCGCGACACGGCTTGATCTCCAGTCTGCCGCCACGACAACTCTTGTTGGGACAGGCCTTGCCCTCCTGCTTCCGACGCGCCTTGTCGCAAATGGCCGGACGCAGATTGATCTTGGATCCGTTGGGCAGGGTGCAGTGCTGGGAGCAGACCAGCACGCCCAGGCAGCTCTTCTTCAGGATGTTCACATTGTGGTTGTTCGTGTTGCGCATGGCCCAGCCGGAGATGTGCTTCTTGGCCTCCTCGTTGTGCAGCGAGTAAATGTGCCGGACGTGGCCATCGCTCCACTCGTTGAACTCGTCGAACTCCTGGTCGGGAACATGCGGCACAATGGCATCGTTGATGTCCCACTCCCGCTTTCCCTTGCCCCCCGACGCCGCCGGCATGGTCATGGATCCACCTGCCTGCTGCTGACCAGGACTTGGATTGTGGCCCGGATCCGGACCCTGACTATGGGACTGGGCGAACTGGGCGTGCTGAGAATGATCGGGCTGCTGTGTGAGAAGTTGCTGCGACTTAAAGTTGTAGCCATTTCTGTGAAGGATTAGGGGAATACATTTTAAGTTTCATTCTTTACTTAATCTTATAATATTATTTATTTGTATAAAGAAATTTCAGAAATTTCGTTTAAAATTTGAAAGATACCTTTAGCTATATGGATGCTTTTCAATCGTTAGAAATGTATTATTTGCATGCTCTAAATACACTTAACTTCCTGAGCTCTTAAGGTGAATAGACTTTATTGCAAAACGTTTAAATTATGTGTCGTCATATCGTTTTACATTTTTTTTCCTATTTTTACTATTAATTATTGCTTTTGCAACCGCTGTTTTTAAAACACTAAGGGCTTACCAACAAGAGTTGTCGTGGCGGCATTACTAGACGCAAACTAAAGGAAATCATTTTTTGGCTTGTGAATTTATTAATTTTTATCCCCATTTTAATAAAATTATTATAAATAGCTGCTAACGAAACCGCTGGACTAAATATTACAAATTCTTGGAAGTTTGATTTATAAATTTAATTTATAAATAACAAAAATAGAAATTGATGTAAATATATCCATTGGCTTTTAAAATTGATTTAAATTTTTTTTTTAGAGTAATCCATTGAGTTAAGCATAAGACTTAAATGTTAATTTATATGTTTACTTTTATATAATAGAAAAAAATTATTATTCGTTGCCCTTTAAATTTAAACACCTCTTCTTCTCTGGAATTAAATGACAGGCAATGTTCTGAGTCACAATTTGATGCTCAATTGAAACACTTTATATTACCACTCTTAACCGCAAGTAAAAACTTTAAGTGATCCATTTAACTGGGACTTAATCGCCCAGGCTTAAGCATCGTTTAAGGAAATTGAAATCCTATCTTAATTGCGCCCTAAACTGTTTCGTAGGGGGTCAGTCATAGAGACCTGCCAATCAAATGGGACGTTTGTGAGGTTTACGAGCGCCATGAAGCGCATCGCTCTTTAGGTCCAGTTTAAAGGGCCGGTACCGTTAGCCCCAAATCCACCTCGGGCGGTAATCCAAGCTGGCCAGAATCGTAATCGTAATTCGAGCGCCAGTTGCGAAGGCGGGAGGGCAAATTAAACCGACACTTCGGATCGTGAGTCAGCGTGGAGTGTGGAGTGTGGAGTTGCTAGACTCGATGGAGGGCCTCGGCCGAGATTCTCCATGTGTGTGGGAGTTATTAGAGACGCGCTCAGCAATTAGCAATAAATTTGTTTGGACCGAGTTCTGTCCATCGGTGATCCCCTGAGCGTTTTTATGTGTACTTGGAAGTCAGCAGGTTGCTCGCTGTCTAATATCGAATACCTGGGCATTGGGATCGCTTGGTGGTCTCTGGGTTCCCCGATCGCCGATCACCGATCCCCGAATGAACCTGTTCGTGGTTAGTGATTGGTTCGCTTTGTTTTGGGTCCGTAAATTGACTGCTCGACACTTCGGGGCGCTCGTTAGTCGCGCTTATCTGATGCTGATAGCGTCTCACTTCGTTCCCGATATGTGTTTTTTTTTTGGTTACCCCTCCTGGGCTCATAATAAGTTTGTCACCTAGAAAATATGTCTCTATAAATCGGAGAAGGGCCGGGGCAACTCTTTGACCCTTTCACTCGAGCGCCGCTCCGCCTACGACTGTGTGTGGTCCGGTGCCGGGTCCGCGATCCCAGGCACACCCCGCGGCTCTTTGGAGCGGACTGGAGCGGCGTGCCATTAACTAAGCTGTGGCCCATGCCCAGCGTGATAATAAAGCGTTTGAAGTCATTTACATTTTACCCACCCTCCCCCGCTGCCTCTTTAGCGTTTGATTTGTGGCCCATTCCTCATCTCAGATTGATCGGAGGTGTTTGTAAGCTCAACACTTACGCAGATGCTTGGGATTAGCGCGTGTCAACATGGTCTATGGGTTCGGATTAAGAATAATTGGAAGAAATAGTGTAAAGATCATTTTCTAAGTCATCATAAGGATGCAAATAGAATGATATTACTCTATATGGAACTGTAGTGCGACATCTGATTATCATTAATACTTATAGATATACGGAAAATCTTATTTTTGTTCCTTTTTACTGTCTTGGGATTAAAAGCATACTATTTTATAGATTTAAAAGATTTTAAAGTTATCAGAAAGTCGTGCCTTACTTAAATTGTTGATTTCACTCTCTTAATGAACCGTCGATTTTATGTTACTTGGAACTATACATTTTCTGGCAATGCATTTAAAAACACATTAAAAACTCAAAATCATTGTTTTAAATTGAGGTTGTTTTTTTATTTGTTCTTTTAATGAAAATTAACAGAAAGAATATTATTTTAATATACGAAAATCATGATCGTACAAATAGGTACTTTCGTAATTATGTTATTGAAATGTTTAAATAAAAACTGTTCTAGTTATAAACCTCATTCTCATATGAAACTAATTTACAACAGTATTTAAAGCAATACTTTATTTTACACATTCTATGAACGTTACGAGTCCGAACAGACTCAAAAAACGTTCCTCCAAGTACAATATTATTAATTAAAGGATATAAATTGATTTGTCACGAACTTAAATTAAAAGACATGTATGAATCTAGACAAATTTTAATATGTTATAGATAACAAAACTTTATCCCAATATAACCTAAATAAAAGAGTTTCTGTACTTTTTACATTGCCCGTCAAAGGAGGCATTTAAGAACTTACATAACAACCATATTCCAAATGAACCAGCGTCTTTAATCCAGATATTTGACGATATAAGTGGTGTATCCAATAAACGGTTAACCGGACTCTTAAATGAGTTTTGTGCTACTTGAAAGCCCTTCCGAACAGGCAACACTTGAGCATTGTAATCCAATTAGGCGACACTTGTGTATGATGGGCACTTGTGTCTTGTATTTTGTATTTCGCGGATAGCCGTCGCTAGTTTATGCTTAGTACGGTACGGATTGCGCACGCGACGCCGACGACGAGAGACAGCGGTGAGAATGACGACCTTTTCACTAAGCCCCAAGCAACCTGTGATGAGCGAGCGATTTGTGTGCAGCAGGGCGGGATGTGCGCGCGTATCTGGCAGATACGAAAAACAAAAGAGCAGCGGCAGCAGCAGACAAAAACAAACTTCGGCGAGCGAGTGGTGCCAAGTTTTGTCAACAAAGGAATGGTATTATGGCTCTGGCTCCACCTACAAAAACCAACAAAATGCCAAAGAGTCGGGGGAGGGGGGATGGCGGGGGCAGCGACGAGCCACCCGCATAATTTGCCAAAAACTCCACGCAGCCACGAAGAGGAGCCGTCGCAGCTGCCGGAGTGGTAAAACGTATCCGTCAGATACATTGTCTTCCAGGCAGCGACCACTTCCAGTCGCTCCTCGCCTGCGATTGGTCGGATAAACTCGCTCACACTCACATTCATTCCATTGCATCGGGGGTTTCTCTCTCTCCTCGAGAGAGAGAGAGAGAGTTTTTGAAGTTCCGGAGGGGAAGATGGAGGAATTTCTGCGGGGAGGGGGGATACATTTGTACACTCGATAAGCATCACAGAAATTTAATTACTTATTATGCCGCTTATCAGTCCCCATTGTTCTGTTTAAGGATATGCCAACAAAAAGCAATAGAAACCACAGAGAGAGCATAGATATTCAAGGGTTTATCGTTGGCCATGCTCGGCAGATTAGTGGCATGATTAATGGACTGGGTAGTGTCGGACTATTCCGTTTAATACATACATTAAACATTTTAGATTAAATTATATTCACATTTCCCATGCATTTTTAATAACAGAAATCGATTCCATTTTGTATCTATACATTTTGAACGAATTGAATGCACTCCCTAATGGGATTTATTTAATTTTCATTCTTCAATAAGATATACGTACAAAGTATACAAATATTTTTGAAAAATTTGTTATTCGTTGCACTGGAGAAATGAATATGACTTGCAAAATGTTTTATATATTCACACAAATATTAGTCCAATTCGTAGTAAATTAAGCATTAGCAAACCACTTGTAATGGAATAGAAAAATTAATTTTTTATTTCAATTTTTGGAGTCAGTAATGTGTGAATAGGCAATCAGATTACTGTGTGAAAAGTTGCTAAGCATTTTACTTATTTTAACTCATTTGGAAAGGAACATGAGAACTCTTCTTCCACTTCTCTCCATCCAAAGATACTTTCTTTGGTCAATGACTTAAATGTCAGTTAGGTTTATTAGGAGCCACAACATCAGAATACACAAGTGGCAACAATATCAGGGCCATTTCAGCCAGAGGGTGAACTTTTTTGGGGGGCGGGGGTACTTCTGGGCCTAATGCTTGCTGCGTCTTTTGTTTTCACCTGATCAGCCCGCATCGCCATTTGGGCCAAAGTTACAGGCCACAAAAAATAAAATACAATTTATGCATCCACTTGGTAGCACACACACAATTAACAAACGAAGAAGAGCAATTTAACAGGGAGAAAAAATAAAGAAATGGAGGAGCAAATAGGCGTTAAAGTGAAAATTGTGAGTGCCGTTGACAGGAAATGTAAATGGTAACAAAAATGGAAACAGCGGCCAGTGGCAACTGTTGCTGCTGCCGCTGCTCAGCGACTGTGACTCGTAATTAAAAAGGGCAAGGGGGCGGGGGACAGGAGGGGATTGGGCAGTTATACGGGATTGGGCCTGTAAACGCGTAACTACGAGGTAGTACTAGTACGCTGCTGGCCATTTGCCCCTCCGCTGCTGCTGCTGTCGTTTTAACGCTCCACGGCAAATGATACGGGTGACAAATACACGTAGCATACCAGACCAAAACAGACCAGAAAGTGGTAGAAGTATTCACAATTTTACAACTAGCTAAACAGTTTCCCCCGAGTATCTATCTCGATCCGGCTTATCGCTGTGTTTCTATCTCGATCCGGCTTATCGCTGTGTTTCGACTTGGTTCGGTTTAGTTTTCTGCCTGCCAGCTGCTTGGGGTTTTCGCAATTAATTGCCCAACATTATTTTATAAGCATGCGTAGTTTAATGTAGGTACACACACCCGGTGTGGTCCCACCTCGAAGTCATAGATCCAGAGTCACGCTGGGATCGGGCGGCCATCTAATGAGCGCGTGCTCCGAGAGCGCAAAGCTCCAGCTGTTCCAAGAAGGGCCTGTCATTGGGGTATCCACGGCTCCACTCCGGTTCATTGTGTTCCAAAATATTCCATAATTTGGTTTTGGCGCATCAAATTAATCATCGATCTGTTAAAATAAATAAAAACTGGTGTACATTGTAATGGATTTCCGAGTAGTCTGCGCGCCAAGCTTTCGACCTAAAAATATTAATAATTAATTTGTGGAGGAGCACTTGGAGAAAAGGGTTTAGTTTAAGAGGTCTTCTTTCTAAATATATTGCTTTATATCAGGTAATTAATGGAACTGAGGTTTTATTATGAATTAAAACCATGATTATCATGTTATTTTTAACTGATTTAAATAGCTGCACTGACAAAAAAGCTCTTTAGACCACTGCAATCATAGATTACCCCAATTAAAAAGGAGTCTCTTAGTCAGTCGTGAATATTGATGACCCCTATGATGTCCGCACAAATACATTCGATTGTTGACACATTCCCACAAAATGTTTCTCCGACTGTAGCTTAATCTCGGACCACAGTGAAGTGTGACTTTTGTGGCACCCAGCAAAGACAAAGACCGAAGGCAATTTTTCCATTTACGCAATTAATTGGCCGTCACGCAGGGAGGTCCGCTAATAGACCAAGTTTGAGACCCAAACCCTACAGCAAAGCTCATCACACAACTACGACGGATTAACGTTTTGCCTATTGACTGATTGATATACACTCGCATCACCCACAAAAAAAGCCCCACAACAATAACGCGAACAAGAGGAATTGATTTTTGAGAAATTTTGACAAATGTCTGGGGAGCCTTCGGCGGGTTAGGCCAATGCTAATGGACCTCTTGGAGTCGTGGTCTTATAAATGAGCTCGATTAGAACCCAATTACAAGGGTGGAATGCTTTGAGGGCCCCAAGACAAGCCATCTACCCGGTCGCATTACTTTTGATCGTAAAATTATGACCCATAAATTTAATTTTATGACTTCTTTCGCCTAACAGAACCATCACAAAAACCACAAAAAAAAAGCCAGAAAAAAGAAGATATCAAAAGTAGCGAGTCCCGAATGTGGTCCAATGTAAGGAAGGTAAGGTGCCAAAATTACGCAGAGTGCGGACTGTAATTTTCGCACCGGAGGTGCTTAAAGACCCTGCCATTTCCTCATCACCCAAATTACCCGAATTCGCATCGCAGCCGGAGTTGCGCTGTCCTACACTTTAATCAGCTAAATGGACTGTTGAAAATTCGGCACATTCGCGGCATAAATAACCCGGCGCAGTTGGCTCCCGACAACGTAGTCCTCCCTCCAACTTATTGTTTGCATAATGAGCTTGGGGCGGGATTCCATTCCGGGCCTAATGTGCTCTGCTCATGAGCAGCTTGATTGGGGGCCAGCCACTGCGGCAGTGGTATGTCAAGGAACCCTCAGCCCTCATAATGGGATGGAAGATCGAAGATCGAAGATCGAAGCTGGAATGATGGATACACATATGGAGCTCTGGCATTTGCAGTTAGATGCCTCCGGTCCTTAGCGGTTCGTTCTGCAAGACAATTAAATCGGCGCCATATACCAATATGAGTATGAAGGAAGTATAAAAAGTATTTGAGGCAAGTGTATAGAAACCAATCAATTCCCTTTGGCTTCTTTGGCCAATTAAATACCCAACTCGAGTTTTATTGTTATTGAATTCTTTCTTTAAAATAATACAGCTACTATAACAGCAATAACAGAGACAATATAATTTAAATGAAGTACATGGCACATTCCATATCAACTAAAAGTAGTTATTAAAGTGTACACTTCCTCAGGCGAATATGGGGCGAAAGAGTGGTCATTCGTCAAAATAAGTATATGCTTAATATAACAATTACAGTGCCCTATAATTTTAAGTGATATTGTAAGCTTAAAACAACGAGGAGGCTGAGTTGATATGGAATGTGTCATTTATTTAAATAGGCTTATAAAGACTCTTCTTATGTTAAAAAGAATTCGATTTTCTTAAGATCCGTTTCTGTTCTTTTCCTTGTCCTTCTCCTGACCAAACTCTTTATCTAAAGCGCATTAATTAAAAGCCAGTGCTCCTGTGTCCCAGATACTGCGATAAGATAAGCCCCAACCAGCTGGGAGGTGATGAGAGCCAATCCAGCCCAACTGGATTGTTGATTTGGATTTCGATTTCGTTTAGCAGTGGCAGCAGATGGCCCACAAAACAGTCGCAATTGCGAACCGAGAAATCTCTGACCAACATCCCGCATGCGGCGGTGGTAATCAAGTCATCCCATTCCAAGCCATCCCGTTGAGATCCCAGATCCCCGATCACAGACCAGAAGAGACCCCAAACCGAAACCAGACGACAGCGGCACGCACGACTTGACCTGCCTCAAGAGCAGCTGGATGGGATCGGGAAAAGGGATCGGGAAAAGGGGATTGGGAATCGGGGTATCGAAGACGCCAAGAAGTGAACGGTCCGCATAACCGTTTAAGTTAATTACGATTATGATTACGATTATGATTATGGCATGAGCTTTAGCCAGAGCCTAACTTATCAGCCCATCAATGGGGGATTATAGAAATGAAAAGTGCTGCGTGCAGTCAGCGGAATCAGAATATTGATATTCAATTAGTGTAACTGGTTAACAGGTGGTACGCCGCAGAACGAACCAAAGTAAATAATAACAACAATTAATTTGGTTTCGGAAATTATGGGCGTGTGGATGCAGGGCACGTAGATGGGATGGCACGGGTTAATACTTGGCCCCCCCTCCACTCCACATCCACGAGCACCTTTTTTCAAGCAGACCACGAAGAGGAAGTGGCTAAGACTGCGGCAAGCCGCCAGTCCAACAGCTGCACTTCTTCTGGCCCAGAGTTATGCTGGTCCTTGGCTTCTTCATACCATTCCCCTTCCCCTTCCCCTTCTGCTGCCTCAGTTGCTCT